CTTCTGAAGCCGAGCTTGTACTCCGCGACACTCATGAAGGCCTGTGCGGCAGACACTTGGGGGGCAGGGCCCTTGCCCAAAAAGCACTGTGACAGGGGTACTACTGGCCAACGATGAAAGTGGACGCTGTTGAGTTTGTCAGAAAGTGTGACAAATGCTAGAAGTTCGCCAACATCCATCATCAGCTCGTTGCTGACCTCAGATACCTCACCAGCCCGTGGCCTTTCGCACAATGGGGTATCGACATACTTGGGCCGTTCCCACCAGCGACAGTCCAGAGGAAGTTTAGTGGTAGCGGTAGATTATTTCACTAAGTGGGTAGAAGCTAAACTTCTTGTAACGATTACAACCCTAAATGTCCAGAACTTCTTTTGGAAGAATATAGTGTGCCGCTTTGGTCTATCTCGTGTGTTAATCTCCGACAACGGCAAGCAGTTCGAGGACATAAAATTCCAGAACTGGTGCCAAGATATGGGAATATGACAGAATTTCACTTCGGTTGCACACCCTCAAGCGAACGGACAAGCAGAGGTTACGAACAGAGCTATTCTTCGCGGACTAAAAGCACGCCTAGACCGAGCTAAAGGACTGTGGGTAGACGAACTACCCAGCGTTTTATGGGCCTACCGAACTACAAAAAAGACCGCCACAGGAGAAACTCCCTTCAACCTCACCTATGGCACCAAAGCAGTCATTCCAGTCGAGATTGAGATTCCTTCGTTACGATTGGAAACATACGACGACAAGGCAAATGAAGACGAACTACGTACCAACCTCGACCTACTCGACGAAGTAAGGGACCTCGCATACATCAGGACTGCAGCTTACCAACAGAGTAGCCCGGTACAATAATGCCAGGGTCAAGAAGCGCAACCTCTGTGTTGGCGACCTGGTCCTTCGGAAAGTTATGGTACCCGAACCTAGTGTTGGCAAGCTCGAACCGAATTGGGAAGGGCCTTACCGAGTGAAATGAGTTCTCGGGGAAGGAACATACGAGCTCGAGACCCTCGAAGGGAAACAAGTACCTCGGGGATGAAATATTGTCAACTTAAGACGATATTACCTATAACAACTGAGTAGACCGCGAGTCACTTCCAAAGTCTAAGGGCCAAAATGCCGAACTAACATGACCTCGGTGCAATAAGACCTAGTCGCCTCCACGGCATGGGTAAACTTCAGGGACAGACTACAGGTCACCCCCTCAGTCTAAGGGCTAAAGCGCCGAGCTAACCAAAACCTCGGCATCAAGAAAGACTTGGCCGCTTTGGTGGTATAAGCGAAGTATGGAATGGCAGAGGTGTAAGCAGCTCGGGTACAAATCCTACGAAGCATGGCTCGTCTCAACGCGTTGGTTGAACTAAGGAACAATTGATAAACACATAGCTCGGGCATGCGTGGCACCATAGGGATGCCTTAAAACGTCAAAAGACGGCTCGGAACAACAATTGCCGAAGTGTCCTACTTCGAGTAAGTAGTTTTAAGTTACTTGAAACGATGAGATCATTTTGGCAAAAAGGAAAATTCATCACTGTTTCAAAAAAAAAAAAGAAAAATACATGAAAGAAAAATAGCAAATGACAAAGCGACAACCGAGCTAAATAGCTTGGGAAAGTCTGACAGAAGGTGAAAGGGCACAACCGCCCAGCAAAAGATCTTTTCAAGACCGGGTTTATGGCACCCGGGAGCCATCAGAAGTCCAGACAAACGCCGCTGAAGCCTTAGGGATCCGCCTCCTCGTCCTCGTCCTCCGGAGAGTCAGCTCTTCCTCCGCCTGGTCCGCCGTCTCGGGAGATAGGCCCTTCATAGTGATGCCGTCGAGGTTGAGCCCGGAGAATTTCTTCCGGACCAACCACCCACAGAGCTTGAACCTGGAGCGGTACGAACTTGAGCCGTACTATACCTGGAGGTCATGATATTCCTGGGAATCTTTGAAGTCCCAGACCGCCTTCTCTCGCTCGACCTCCACCATGTTGTCGAAATTCCGAGTTCGATCCAAAAAAGTGGACTCTAAATCCCGAACCTGTTGGCGAAGGAGCTCCCTCTCCGCTGCCACCCTTGATGACTCCCCCCTGTAACGCGTGCTCTCTTCAGAAAGCCTGGCAATTTGCGCCTCCTGGTCTCGGACGAGCAGCTCTAGGGACTCGCTCCCCTTGCGAGTGTGAAGGAGCTCGCCTTGAAGCTTCTGAATGTTGAGCTTCCTGGTTATGAGCGTCACAGGAGTGAACGTGCGTCTGGAGGGCCATGCCGTGTATGGCGGTGTTTACCTGCCAACAAGAGACAGGAGTCAAAAGACAACAAAAAAGGAAAGGAGGACAAAGGAGGATAGAAAGACCACTTACCACCATACAGTGAGAGGTAGCAAGCGCAACAAGATCCCCAGGCTCCATCGCTCCCCACTTAGCAACCTCCTCATTGCAAATCGCTCTCCGGCTCCTCCTGCGAGCCACGACGAAGTCGTTTACGCCCTCCCAGTTCCCCACTGGGAGCTGCAGGTAGGGAAACGACCGAGAGGGACCCGAGGGGACTATCTCTTGCTGCGGGAGCTCGCTCTCCTTGAGGCTGGCCGCGTCGGCACCCCCTTCGAATGGAGGCGGCGGAACTTCGGGCGGTGGAGAGGTGAAGCTCGGCTCAGCAGGCCCAAACTTAGTACCCCCGGAGGGGGGAGTTTGGTCGGGGCGCGACCTCTTTACTTTGCGCCTTTGGTTGCTTGATAGAAGGCAACGCAAATCAACACCAGACATGATGGCTGCCAAGAAGAAACCATAAAGTATCAGTTTGGTAAGAACAAAGTATATGTATATATACACAACATTGTGACAAGGTACTACGCGACCTAAAGAAGCAACCTACCAGGGCTCAGGCCGGCCTGCACAAGCTTCTCCTGGGTCAAGTAATCCGAACAGAGGAATCCAACTGATGCCCAGGACAGCATCGTTTTTTGAGTGTCGGGGTCCAGCTCGACCCCGGAGTCCTGGATGGTGCCCCTCCAAGAAGTAGGGAAGGGCCACCCCTCAGGGTTGCGGACCAAAAAATAATCCCGCTTCCATGCGAGAATATTATTTGGAAGCTCGTATAAGAGCTTGTAGCCACGACGAGGAGAGAAGTAGTAGAGACGCCTCTCCGGTGGAGCCCCGGGAGTGGTTTCTTTATACAAAGGATAGCAGAAAAAATGTCGAGGTTCAAGGGAAGACAATATTCACAACACAAGGATATAGTCCCAACCATGTTCCGAACGGCGTTGGGATGAAGCTGATTGATGATGGTGACGTTAAAGTGGTTTAGCACCTCCACTATCAAGGGGTGTAGGGGGAGACGCAGGCCAGCCTCGAGCTGCTCCTGGTAGATAACTATCTCATTGGGACCATGTTCCCACGAAAAGTTACCAGTGGGAAGGCAGTAGATGAGGTCCCTGGGAAGGTGGAAATAGCTAATTAGAGACCTAAGTCTCCCCTCTGTCATGGAGGAAGGGCTGAAAGTATCGGGCTCCCTTCCCCGGGAAGTGGAGGCTCCGTCACCGGAGGTCTCCCGGGCCCCCGGGGCCTGTTCCCAAGTTCCCCCCGAGCTCGAGGGAGCACCATCATCCTGGTCATCGCCCCGTTGACGAGTGTGGTACAAGTACCCAGACATGATTGATAGTAATCGAGACTCACCGAAAGGGACGGGACGAAGTGAACTGAGGAACTCGAGTAGACTTGATAGATGCGCGACCTCAGAATCCGAAGACAACAAGATGGCGTGAGGGAAAATGAGTCCCAGAGGGCCCTTCTTTTTATAGCCTCCACGCCTCCGAATCAACGGCCCAGATTAAGGTGGATCCGAAGGTTCGCAGGTGTACTGACCGCTGCCTTCTGAAAACCGAAAAGCGATTGGCTGCACGTCTCTTATGATTGAGGTAATGACGGCTGCACGACATCCGGAGTTAAGAGCCACTACAACACGTTTTCGGAGTTCGAAAAGTTAGAAAATCTCCTGATTCCCGCGAACGCATTTAATGTGAGTAGTCAATCAAGTTTGAATTTTGGTCAAATCAGTCCATCATACTTCATGAACTCCTTGCGCTAAGGCAACACTCTCAGCTCAAAGAGTGGGGGGCAATTGATGGAGGATGATTTGGCCCAACCTACGAAACGATGACACATGGACCTAACTCAGCACGAGCGACAACTCAACATCATAGCCTGGTAACAGCTAAGTAACGAGCCTATAAAGCAGCTCGCTACAACACGAGCTCTGGGTTCCCCTAAGCAGATAAGTCATTCCAGAGACCAATTCTAATAAGGGTAACCCTGAAGTACTCCTAAGCTCGCTACAAAGTAGCTCGCAAGTGAGCAGCGCGAGTGTTTCTCAGGAAGCTTCTATCTGASGAACCGTACCAATCAGACTGCGCCACGTCCCTTGACTGACGACGCAGTCCCTGTTCTTTCGACAGTCTGCACCCATGTCTCTCAGCAGGCAGAGGCGTGCCTGCCCTTTGGAGACGTGTCGCCCATCCGAGCAAGGAGTACGTCGCAACGGCCACCTGCGCAGCCCTGGCAGGTAACGACTGTGGCAGGGGCCCAGTGGCGGTTACGCCCGATCTGACAAGAGTGCCCCTATAAAAGCCCTTGAGACAGAAGGGAAAAGGGACTCTGAGACTTTTGAATATTTCCGCACCCTCGTACTTGAAGACTGAATCTATATTTGCTCGCGAGCTAATCTCTCGAGCACAGTGAAAAAGTGCGACCTACACTCTTTGCTTTCGCACTCTTCTTTTCTCCTTCCCTAGCGTTCTGACTTAAGCATTGGAGTATTCCCACTAGGTATATCCTCGGGAATCCTTCTTTTCATCTTCTCAGGTGCTATCTGTTGCCAACAAGGAGCCAGTCAGCAGCTAGTTAGGAGTGCCCGGATTGCGCATCATCATCACCCTTCGTTCATCGGCCATTGGAAGGAAGCTCTAAGTTGGGTTTAGCGGCCATTGGAAGGATTCTCAGAGGCTCCTTGCGTTCAACAACAGTTGAGGGCCCCATTTGTTCATCGGTCTCCTTCATTCCCAAGTTTCGATCATTGGAGGCCCCCTCCGTTTACAGTTGGAAGGAAGCTCGAAGCTAGGATTAGCGGCCATTGGTTTTTTGACCCACCCACCTCCTCTCGCTCCTCTGCTTTCTCCTATTTCTTCTTCCCCTTCATCTTCATTCTCATCTCCTTATAATAACAATAATTACCAGAAAGAATCAACTCCATCATCATCTAGCAGTGGAATCAGCCCTGCTGTTCTTCCTATTATAGTTATTCTAGCCGTTATTTTCTTCATCTCCGGCCTGCTCCACCTGTTTGTTAGATTCCTAATAAAGCAACAGTCTTCCTCTTCGACATCTCAGTTTAATAGATACCTGGAAATTTCTGGCTCTGATGCTCTCCAAAGGCAATTGCAACAGTTCTTCCATCTACATCACTCTGGTCTAGATCAAGCTTTCATAGATGCTCTCCCTGTTTTCCACTACAAAGAGATAATGGGTTTGCAAGAGCCGTTTGACTGTGCAGTTTGCCTATGTGAATTTTCAGAGCCAGACAAACTGAGGTTGCTTCCTATGTGTAGTCATGCTTTTCATATTAATTGTATAGACGCATGGCTCCTGTCAAATTCAACATGCCCTCTCTGTAGAGGGACGCTTTACAGCCCTAGCCTTGCCGTTGAGAATCTGGTTTTTGATTTTGACGATTTAAGGGAGGATAGCGGGGTGTCCAGGCGAGGGAGAGGATGGGTTTGCTTTAGTCAGAAACCAGTGGAAATGGAGGAAATTCTTACTCAGGTCTCTTTGAACAAGCCAATCCTGATGAATTTCTTGACCTGGAAGGTCAGTTTGATGAAGAAATGCAATTGGAAGGAATAAGAGATGCCCTTCATAACAGTGGAATGTTTTCCATGGAGGAATTAGAGGAAGGGGAGATACCGGGCTTCTGAAAATTTGGAATTCGTTGCCTCAAGGCAACAAGAAACCAGATGCTGTACCAAGCATCATCTGTTGAATTAAAAAACGGTGGCTCGGAGCGATTGCTGGTGCCGGAGAGGGATGTGGAAGAGGGTAAAAAAAGTCTGGTTTGAAAAGAAAAACAAAACATCAAAGGAGGGTTTAATGAAAAAACCAAAGCCCTAGACAAAAAACGAGGGTTAGAGCTTACCTGATGACCGGAGTGATCGCCGGTGCCGGAGATGGGGGCGAAGATTCGAGCTCGGGCAGAGAATAGGGCTCCGATTTGAGCTTGGGGGGAATATGGGAAAAGCTTGTAGAGTCGCAGACTAAAGCCCTTTTGAATGAGTTTTGCAGCTAACGGGCAGGGTTAACGTCCGTCTATTTAGCGTCGCACGCAGGAACGCTCCACCGCGTACGACTGGACAAGTGTCTCGCACGTCGTGTGGGGTGAAGCGCGGTGGGGGGGCGGTAATGCGAACTCGGTGGAGTTTCCCGTAAAACTAATTTGTTTAGTGGGGTCGAGTGGTCGACGGGGGTTTCGAATGCCGTAGCAGGCTATTCGAGATTTCGTTTTCTGAGGTGGACCTACCCATAAAAACCCCCATTTAAACCCAAAAAATCCTGTACATTAGAAGGGGAGCCGCTGGCCCACTGCAACCTATTGTTTGAAAATCAACTAAACTGTTTGAAACTAACTGCAATTCACTATTGTTCCACTGTTCTACGCCATTGTGAACCGCCATATAGACGCCATTGTCAACTGCTATTTAGCCTTTCTAGTTTCTACTTCACTGTTTTTACTTTTTTGTGTTTCTCCCGAGAAGAGGAGGCAAGAGAGATAGAGAGAGAGAGAGAGAGAGAGAGATAAAGCTTGTCATTCTGTTTTTTTCCATCTTGGTAGCGGAAGAGGAAGCCGTGGTTGCGCTTGGATCCCAGGCTATTGTTAGGTAAGTTGTTTCTTTCGTTTTGCTGGAATTCCTGGTCTTTTACATTCGATCAGACCTCATGACTTCCCCATCTCTGTTCGTTGATAGAGTTAGACCTTAGTATTGACTTTCCCATCTCTGTTCGTTGATAGAGTAAGACCTCACTTTTTCTTCATCCCTTATTATACTATGTCTTGAGTTTCTAGTCAGGTTACCCCTTTAGAGTTCCCAATCTACATCCTCACTTTTTCTTCATTGCTGTTTTTTGGCAAAGTTATCATGTGATTGTTAGTGAAATTGAAGTCTTACCGTTTCCTTTTTGTTTGATGATTGAGTATGCTTTGCTMGTTGATATGCACTATTATTTAATGAAGTTTGATTTCTCTTTCTAATGTTAAAGTTTATTCTTGAATATTCATTGCCTAGATGATGCCCAAGTAGGTGGATAGACACCCTTGTGTTGTACAACCTTGGCTTTGTGTCTTGATATTATGATTTTACCTTGTGTTAGCAATCTGCCCTCTTTTTCATTTTTAGTTCTTTTATAAATCTGTTACCTAATTTTTATCTTCAAATAGAAACACAGGATCAGAAGTGCATAATTTAGCCATTGACTCGGCCATAATCAAAAGTTTCAATGAAGCTCAGTCCTTCAATGGTGTTGCGGCCTGTTTGCTTATTCATTGCTCTGGTAATTCTTTTATAACATTATGATGAAATTTATTGTCTATAAATTTTGTTATATATGACAAAATAACTAACCTGAAGTTGTACATTCTATCAAATTGACATGAAGGGATTGGTGGTGTTGCTAATTCCTAATTTAGTTATCACAGCTTGGTATATTACAACTAGTCGGATTGAGCACACTGTTAAATTGATTTCAATTGCTGCCCATAACCAATCACGCTTGAGCATTGAAACAAGAGGAAAATTATTACTTCCACTAAATTCATCAACTGTGGATGTAGCAAGAGTTTTAAGTTCCTATCTTAATGGGAGTGAGTTGTCATTCTCTACAGTAGAGACTAAGGTTAGTGTGTATCTACTAATACTATTATTAAATGAAGTTACTTCCCATAACCAAACTTCTATGCAACTAATAAAATGCAGTTATTGCATTTCTTGGTCTGTTGCAGGTGGCTCCACATTTGTTTTTGATATTTTTGGCAGTTCCAGATTTGACACAAATTTCATATATTGGAGTGGATGGCATCTTATTCTCATATTACAAGCACCACAATCAAACTCTTGTAGTGTATTCTAATACCTCAAATTCTTCGCTTGGGTCTACTCAAAATGCCACTATTGTGCATCATTGGTATACACAACTAGTAGATCACGAGACTGGGAAACGAGTTGGACAAGCACTTACTTTGAACTCTGTGGCTATTGTAAATGAAGCATGGTTTCAAGAAGCCTTGAATAGAAAAAATGGATATGCTTCATTAAGGACAGCATGGATTGAAGCTAAAGATCTCTTGTTCCTTCACACAGTTTCTATAAATGGAAAAGGGGTGATCTCTCTTGGGTTTCCAGCAATTGCTTTAAGAAGTTTGTTTTCTGATATATATCTTTATGGTGGGTACTTATACTTGGCTACAAGAGATGGGAAAGTTCTTACACAGACCGGGCCTCCAAATACTAACATAATATTTGATAATAAGATGGTCTCAATCCAAATAATGAAACCAAATAGTGATTTGGTGGGTCGGGTTTTTAACATCTCATGTGAACCTCAAAATTGCACTTTACAAGCTTTTGGCGTGAATGTTTGGGGATTGAAGTATACGTTATATTGTGGCCTTCTTGAACTTGGTGGAGTTCAATTGGTATGTTATGATTACTTATTACCAATAAACTTATCCTGTTGCTTTTCTTTTTTAACTAAAAATAAATTTGTTTATGTTTAAATGAACATTAGGTTGTTAATTGTTAGTTTAAAGAAGCATCCCCCAAGATATAATGTAATTTATATGAACATCCTACTTTCATTTAAAGAGGTATCCCCCAATGTACAATGTATAATTTTTAGCTTCGCAACTTATGATTTTAATGCCATAAGTTTTTATGAAAAAGTAAACTAACACTTTCATTTTCTAATTTTTTTGATAGGTAGCTAGGCACATTTTGTTGATTTATATAAAAGAATATGGATTTTCAAATATTTGACAGCCTCAACTACCCCAACCAATTCATAGTTGTGTGTACAATCTTAGGGGTCCACATCCCTTGATGTAACTCCCCCTCCCAAAAAAAAGTTGGTTTCTGTTTACCTTTGTTTAGCTAGAGTGTTTTCCATTCTTTTTTTTTTTGGTCTTGGTGTCCATACTATTTGAACCCTTAGTTCTGATATTAAATGCTTTATCTCCCTTTACATGTCTATACATCCATAGTCCCCCCTTTTTTGTGTGTGATCCAGCCTACCACTATATGACACTCCAACCATTAGTCGATATAATTGATGTAGGATGGGGTGGGGGTCCTAGTGATTTAACATCAGTGATGGGCTTTGTAGGGGTGATGGAAGGGCTTTAAGTGATTAGGAATAAAGAATGTGGATGGAAAAGCAAGTAGATAGCTTGCAGAGAAATTAAAAGAGAGAGAACTCTTGCTGTTGGGGTAAACAACAATGAGAAAGGTCAAGACACAGGTGGAGAGAGGAAAAAAAGAAAAAAAAAAATTCTGGCAACAACCAGAATTCATTAAGCCAAACTTCTTTTCTTCAAATCAATTCCAATTACAGTGATCCTATTTATTGACTCAACTTATAAGTTATGAACATGGATGTCCCTTTACAGGCTCCAATTTTGACTAAGAAGCTTACCCATAAGTCAACAACTTCTACTTGCTTTGAAATTAAGACAGATCCATAGGTAACCTAAGGCTGTGTTTGGTTTGACGGAAAAAGTAGGGAAAGGAAGGGAAAGGTAGGGACACCTTTACAAACCTTGTATGAGGTTTCCCCACCTTTCCCTTCCTTTCCCTACCTTTTCCTTCAAATCAAATATAGCCTAAAGGAACACTCCAATAAGGACTAATTCCTCAAACAATTCTTAACAACTCATTATTGATCTCACTAAGAGTAACTGGCTTTATAGACACCAGAAATTGCTAAAAATAGTGAACTATGAGTTTACTAAAAGTGATAATTATGAGACTTGCTGTAACTAGTAAGTCTGAAAAATTACCATAAATAGTAAATAGTAGCTTTGCTCTCGATGATTCTCCTTTGCCCACAGGTTTTGAGAACAATTTTTTTGGTAATAAAAATAAATTTATTAAAGCAAAAATGAAAGTACAATAAAGGTGACCAACAGTAGGGGCAACCGAACAGTGGGATTTTTTTTTTAAATCGATCCGATCATTCGGTTTTTGTAAAATCCTGAACCGAAACTGAACCAAAATCAATCAGTTAACCGGTTGATTGGTTCGGTTCTTTGGTTTTTCAGTTTTTCTATCTATTTGCTGGTTTAAAAAAATGCTTAGTTATTGGTTCATAGATAATGAAAAAAGAACAAAAAGCAACATCCAAATGCCCAATATGGTAGATTTTCATAAAAGAGAAAAAGGGAATTAATTCCATGTGAGTGGAATTGRCAACATTATGGTGAATCAACACTGACGACAACGGAGAATTGATATGCAATTTGATTTCATCAAATTGATATAATAACGGATAAAACCTAAAATCATGTTTGATGTAGTAGACACATGTTAACCAATATCATCAAATTGATATGCAATTTGATAGCCTTATTTGGGTTAAGCCCTTGTATATGTAACAGGTAGACACTACTTAGACTGCTTATTGAGCTTTCTGAATGACCCAGGTATCTTCCAAGAGAAAAATCAGTTTGGGAGTGCAAATAGGCCTCACATCTTCTCATTAGCTTCTTTCATGGGGCAAATAAAAAAAACCCTTGATGTATGTCCACAATAAACCCTTATTTGTGGGCAAGTTTTATATTAAAAATCGAAAACTTTGAATGGATACCATTAGTTGGGGAAACTAACAATACAAGATGGGGTATAGGGCTGGTGTTAATTTTGAAACTGAACATGTGGTCAATGTGGAGGCCTAGTGGGTCTTCTACTTGGAGGATGGTTTGTATCATCTCCCTCCATGGGGCTGAAATAGTGTAGGTCTTGTATTGGCCCTTAAGTTTTATTTTGTTTTGCAGTGCAGATGAAGTAAAATTAAAATCAGGAGCAGAAGTGATCTAGAGTTTGCATTCTAATTCATTTGTGTGCAATTGAAACTGTAATGCAAACAATTGAAGCATAAAGGGAAAAATAATCAGGAGAATCAATAACCATAATAGTTAATTGAATGGACAAATATGTCATTGAAAAATAAGGTTGCAACTGATTACCTCTTACTGCTTTATGTTTTGGAGTTTTATTCACTTGACATCAGCCTTCCATGTTCACTATTGTAACTTAGTTTTTGAGATATTTACTGTTGTAACATACCAAATTTAAGGTGGTTTATCTTCTCTTATTATCATTGTTCCTTAGTTTGTGAGATCCTTTATTCTCGTAGTCATCAGAATGAAATAAAGGAGAAGAAAAAGACAACAAAGTATGGATACCATTAAAAAAAGAAAACAAAGAGTGGATGGCTCAATTTCCATACTACTATTAATTCATTTTAGATTAAGGCTACAACTTCAAACCATTGAATGTAACTCAACAATTTTACTGTATTTGCTATAATTTGTTTTGTAGGTTTATGTGTATAGCTTTCCTCAGAAGGGATTACTTGACCTTATTCATGGGGACAACAAGCTATCATTTTTGTTGTTGTTAGTGATGCTCGCTTCTGTTGTCCTCTCCATTGTTTTTTTCGTTCTATTCATTGTTAGAGCCGCAAGAAGAGAGATTTTCCTATGTGGAGCTCTAATAAAACAAATGGAGGCTACTCAACAAGCAGAGAGGAAAAGTATGAACAAGAGCCTTGCTTTTGCTAGAGCTAACCATGATGTTCGTAATTCTCTTTCTGCAATTACTACTTCAATTGAGCTCTGTTGTCATGAGGTTGCCCCTGATTCTGATTTAAAGAGGAATTTGATACAAATGGATGCAAATGCAATGGATCTTTTACGTAAGCTTATATGTTTCTGATCTTGTTCTTCCATTTTTACATTTTATATTAAATTAACGGCCAAAATAATGCAATAGATATGTTGGTTTTGATCATTTGTTCATTGATTTCAGTTTACAAAATCTTATAGGTTGTGCCATAAACTGAGATTTATGAAATGGAATCTCATATATCTTATTTAAGAGCAATTTAGATAATTCTTTTACTATAGTTACATGTTTTAATGATAGATGGGTTAAATGCCATGCATTTATAGTAGATTACATTGACTTCTTTTTGCATAAGGTAGAGTATGTGAAGAATTCTACAATTATCATGTTCAAGGTTCATTAAATGCAAATAATTCAGCATTCAATTATGTCTTCAATATACAACATTTTTTCTTATACACTTGTATCTAGATTGTGAATTTATGTTGTTTTCATTGATTAATTATATATGTTTATGTTTGCTGAAAATTTTTGTTTCAGGGATATTAGATTCTGTTCTCGATACAAGTAAAATTGAAGTTGGAAAGATGCAACTTGAGGAAGAAGAATTCAATTTGGCAAAACTCCTAGAGGATGTAGTTGATTTGTTTTATCCCATTGGTGTGAAGAAAGGAATAGATGTTATATTGGATTCTTATGATGGTTCTCTTTTCAAATTTTCTCTTGTTAAGGGTGACCGTGGGAAACTCAGGCAGATACTATGTAATTTACTTAGCAATGCTGTGAAGTTTACATCAGAGGGCCATGTTTCAGTTCGGTCTTGGGCTAAGAAACCAAGCCTAGAGAATTGCATACTTGCTTCTAAACGTGGTGGTTTTTGGAGTTGCTTCTCAAGACTAATTTACAAGAGTAATAAAGCATATGATAAATTGGGTTCACTTCATCCAGTCCAACAAAATCCAAATTTTACAGAATTTGTATTTGAGGTAGATGACACTGGTAAAGGAATTCCAAAGGAGAAGCAAGAATCTGTATTTGAGAATTTTGTTCAGGTCAAGGAAACTGATCTTGGACAAGAAGGCATAGGACTAGGACTTGGTATAGTTCAATCATTGGTAAGTAGGACGATAGGTGCTTCTGACTTTGTATTTACATGGATATTATATTAAGTTGGTCATGGATATAATTTATTGTTACTCTTAGAATGGCATAAGACCCTTTGGTCATTGAGATACCTTTATGAAATGATGCAATAATTTTGTATTAATTGCAGCATTTGAAGTATATTTACTTTCTTGGCATTTTGGATGCCTAAGACTAAAATGTTGACTCAACCTAGTGACTCTCTATCTGTGATCTTCAAATAGTGTTTTTATTCATATTTCTTCTATAACTTAAGATTATGTTGCAGGTACGTCTTATGGGTGGAGAGATAGTAATTGAAAATAAGGGGATTGGTGAAAAAGGCACTTGCTTTAAATTTAACATTTTTCTTGCTACAAGTGGGACCACAACTGTTCCTGTTGTACAAGAGGAAGATACTAAATTACAAGGTGATCACTTAAATGATTCATATCAGTTGGGGTATAATATTTGGAACCAAAGTCCCAGGTCAGAAGGTTCTCATGTTGTGCTCCTAATTCAAGGTGATGAAAGGAGACGGATCTCACAAAAGTTGATGGAGAGCCTAGGCATTAAAGTATCGGTTTTAAGTCGATGGGAACATCTATCACCTACCCTTCAGAGGATGAAGAACAAGTTGCGCCTTATCCATTACAGTTCGTCAGGGAAATCTGAGTTGGGTTCGCTTAGTGATAGTTTGGGCAATTCACCATCATATAATCCTAATGTCGGAGTAAGAGATGGGTGTGCAAGTATCAAAGATGGATCTGACTACATTCTGCCTCTCCACATAAGAGCAAGTTTTAGAAGTGCTTTAAATTTCCTACTGATTGTGATTGATGTTAGTGCTGGACCTTTTTTGGATATGCGTTCAGTTGTGGCTAACTTTAATAAAGAGCTCTATAATCATACTCAATGTATGGTTGTTTGGTTAAACAAATCAATTACTTGTGACCCTGATTTGAGAAGCATCAAAGAAAACATGCTAGCTTCATATGAGCAAATTGTATCCCAGCCTTTTCATGGGTCCAGTTTATACCGAGTACTAAGTCTGCTACCAGAATTTGGTGGTACAATCCAATTTCATTTACCCAAACCAAGGAGGGAAGCCACATTAGAAGTCACACAACCATCTAGAGATCCCAGTCTATCTCCAGAGCAGATTCATGCAGAAACCAATTGTGGAATTTTGCAACAGCACCACAAGAAGCCCTTGAGTGGAAAGAACATATTGATTGTTGAAGATAGTGCAGTATTGCGCAGGCTGAATTCATCCCTTATTTCTCGTCTAGGTGCTGTTGTTGAATTTTGTGAGAATGGGGAAGAAGCAGTTGACCGAGTTTTTGAGGCTCTAAGTAAAACTTATCAAAGAGAGCAAGGGCCTTCTGTAGTTCTTCCTTATGATTATATTTTCATGGACTGTGAGGTAAAGTGTAATTTTCCCTTAATTTTTTAATGGATTATTAAAGAATTCATGATATGGCTGATCATTTGTTAAATTCAAACTCATTGTGGTTTATCTTATGGGTATAAGTATGATTTTTTTCATTAATAGAATTTCATAAGGAATGATGGAAGAAAGATACCATCTTAGGTGATAACAAGATATCCAAACAAATAACTCCTTCACCTCCCCAGAAAAAGACTAAGGGGCCTTCTGATAATGGCTGAAGTGTCTAAACTGAATGATTTATTACTTTGTCTTTTAGTGGATAAAATAATTTAATAATAAAACATTTGAGTTTTATATTAATCAATCCAACTTCAGTTTCAGCTATTAGGAGCTTACAACCACCTTAATAAATTTATCCACTTGAACACAAAGCATTAAGTCATTCTGTTCAGCCATTTCATCTGTTATCGGATGGTCCCTAACTGCTCTCAAACAAGACTATCACAAACATTACGAACAAAAACTCAGAATACGACCACACATCTTTAGAAAAAACACAAATCACTCCATAAAATCTTTAGACCTCCTTTAACATTTTTCCAACACATTATTTATCAAAAAAATACATTTTTCCAACACAGCCAACCCTTAAAATTTCTACAATTCATTCTCTAAACTCTATTGTTACCTCTTCTAATCACCCCCTGTATATTTCTGTTAGAGTCGACTAAAGAGGGGTATTTTAGTCTTTTCCATCTAAGTTATGTATTAGTTATATGCCTCCTACATATGCAGGGGCATTTCTGTCTTTGTACACTTATTTGTCAAACCTAAATACATGGTCAACTGGGTTAGACTCTTTGTCTCTTCAGTTCGGCAGTATTCTTCTTCTTCTTCTTTTTCTTCTTCTTCTTCTTCTCTCTTTCTCTTTTCTCAGTTCGACTGAATAACACTATCATGGTATCAGAGCGCCGCTGATAGAAGTTGATTACAGCTTTCTATCAATCTCCTCTCTTCCCTTCCTTCTTTTATTTTCGTTTTTTTTCTGCTGTGAGAAATCTGGGGTAGAAGACTGGGCGAAACCCAGATTTCTGCGGCAACTTCTAGGGTTTCAGTGGACTGCTGTCAACAGTAGAACAGTTCGAGTGAACAGAGAAAAAAAAACATTTTTTTTTTTTTTTTCGTATGGACTACTGTCACCATGTGTGACTGCTGTGGTGGTTGAGTAGGTGCAGTCATGGTAGTCTGAACCCTCTAATGAGCAGTTTCAAGAGGGATTCTCTGTGGTTTTAAATCTGCCTGTTCTCAGTACAGTGGTGTTTGAAGTGGCTGAATGTATGCTAGGGCAAGTTTGTGGTGATTACAAGTGTGCTGGTGTGGTAGTTGAAGAACGGTAGTGTAGTGGTTGGAACTTTTTTGTGTGTGATGGGCAGAACCAACTTCGTAGACTGAAATGGCATCGATGGGTGATGCGAGTGGTGACCAGAAATCGAGTGTGATGATCTCCTCTGGTTTTTTGAGTGTCCAGATGACATCCATCAAACTCAATGGTGAAAACTATGTTCCGTGGGCCAAGTCGGTGGAAGTGTTTCTGAAGGCTAAAAAGAAAGTGAAACATGTACGGGAGGAGAAATCTAGTGCTGAATCCCCGGGTTTTAGTGATTGGGAGCAAGAGGATGCTCAAATTATGACGTGGTTGCGGAACAGTATGGAGACTAGAATCAGTGTTAACTTAATGTTTTTAGATATGACAAGGGATATATGGGAACATGCCAAAAGACTATTATGGACAAGACAACACTACAAGGGTTTATCAGCTTTATTAGGAATACTTCAGTTTGTAGTAGGGAAATTAGACTCTTGGAGAATATTATGCTAGTATGAAAAATCTTCGGGGTGTGGCATGGGGGTCTGGGGGCGGAGCCCCCGGCTTAGCCGCTAGACACAAAAAAAGCAAAAAAGCATCAAAGTTTCAAAAGGCTCACGCTTGGGTTGAGGTGCACCAGGCGTGCGCCTTTTGAAAGGGCTGCACATAGGCCTTGGGTGAGGCGCGTACCCTGAAATGCACCTCCCTGTGCGCCTAGGTGCGCCTTTTAAACCATTGGGTCTCTTAGGGGAATGCATGAATTAGCTTAGGACCCTAACTAAATAAGCAATGTCGGAACGTGCCATAGACAAATAAAGCAACCTTCCCACTAATCTCTGAATCTGTTTTACATCTTTCAGAGGTTCATCATTACAATCACCCAGGTTATGGTCAACATCCATAGGAGTATCTGTTGACTTTGCACCTAGCTTGTTTGTGTCTTGTAATAGATCAAGGATGTACTTTGAGAAATGAAGATGGTCCTTTTTGAACAAGAAACCTCAATCTCAAGAAAGTACTTTAGTGRACCTAGATCTTTCACTTCAAATTGGGAAGCTAGGAACTCCTTCAACTTTTGTATTTCCGATCTCTAGTTCCCTATAGTGATGATACCATCCACATACACTATCAACACTGCAACCTTTCTTGACACCTCTTCACAAAGAGAGTGTGATTAGACTGACATTGTTTGAATCCTACTTGCTGGACTGCCATATGAAACCTATTGAAGGGGTAATTGGCATAGGAAACATCATATTTTCGACTCCCATACTAGCTGTACTACGAGTTGGTGTGATCCTGGATGAAGTAGAATCATCATTTTCCATTAAAGAAAAAATCTGTAGAGCAAACACAGGAACCATAGATGCAAAAAACTTGTCCCCACTCAATTACAATCACTCATAGTCACTAGTAGGGCACAAAACACCAAACAATTCTGCTTCCGAGAAAAAATACTGCTGAAATTACACTGCAGCAACTAAACAGTCCAAGAAACTAAGTTCTAGTCACCATTGGACCACACACCACATATACCAATCAAAAACAGCACATACCTGTGACAAAGGGGATTACATACCTCTGTACAGTACCTGTACGAAGGTACAAACATCAAGAAAGGAGCCTTCACAGCATCGACTACCTTCTACTAGGGTTTCCTTGGTCTTATGACCAAGGAGGAACCCAGAAAAAATAGTGAATCAGTGTTCTGACCAGTCTGATTAGGGTTTCTATTCTTCTCAGTCCAAGAAATCAGCAGTCTGGGTGAGTAGTGTGATTCAGAGGGAAAAAAGAATTCCTATTGCCCAGAACCTTGCTCTGATACCATGTTTTCTTCTAGAAAGAGAGAGTAGGAAGAGAAGAGAAGAGAAGAGAAGAGAAGAGAACAGAAGAAGAGAAAATCTTGGGCTGGCGGCACCCAGCTTTCTATTTATCATAACACAAAAAAAATAAAAGAGGAAAAGGACATATCTTCCCCTGGCAGCACACCCTAATAAGAAAACATTAAATAAGACTAAGAACATACTGAGAGAGCACACTAAACTGACACCATAAGCAACTCTAACAGCAGAAACAACTCTAAAAGAACTCTAATAACATCGACCAACCCACCCAAGCCTGACTTAGCCTAGTTGGAACAACTTGACCAAAGCCTAGCCCAAATTGTGTTGGGTTAAGCTTTGGTTGGGCTTGGGTTGGCCCAGGTTACACTCCTATATGTAGTTATCTTGAATAAGGAAAATTTAAAAAATGCATATGCTTTTTGATGCATCTAATACCTGCAGGGTTGACCTTTGTTTTTGCCATTCTCAATATTCTCAATACTTTTTGCTATTTCTTGTAAAAAGCTTTGGTATTTATTACTTGTAGTTTAATGACTAACTGTGTGTCTGCTTGTAACTCAAAACCAGAATATTCTAGAAAAGAAAAAATTGCATCCGAGTCTGAGCCTGAGTCCTGTTTGTTAGTTGACCTTCACATGCACCCGGATATTATCTTTGGGACACATATACCTGCTATTTTTCATGTTTATTATGTTTATGTTTCCATTTCATTAAGTAATGGTGAACATCTTGTAAAGAAATCTGACATGCTTGCCAATTTAGATTCCTCCCTATGAAAAGCAAAAACTTACCCAGTCGATTAATTATCTTTAAGAACCATTCAAGGAACATATAGATGTGTTTGAACTTTCTCTTTTTTTATAAAATTTTAATTTGGTTTATATATACTATTATCATTTTTCAGATGCCGATAATGGATGGGTATGAAGCAACTAGGCAAATACGAATGGAGGAGAAGCGGTATGGTATTCATATTCCCATAATAGCATTGACTGCTCATGCAACAAGTGAGGAGAAAGCCAAGACAAAACAGGCTGGAATGGATTTACATATAACTAAACCAGTAAAAGGAGAAAGTTTGTTGGATGTCATCCGTATGATTGATAGTAATCTCCCATTTTCTGTATGATACTAGTAAATGAAAATGTTTGTTAGATATCATCTGTGTAATCAATAGTAAATTAAAATGTGTGAGTTGGTTCCTATATTTTCTTGTTTTTCACCCAACTCCTTGGGTTTTCTTTTGTTAAAATTGAAAAGAAAAGAGAAAAAGAAATTAGAGAACAAAGTAGATGTTATTGCATTGCCTAGTTTTTTAAGGATAATCTTGAGTTTGATAATTCAAAATTTTGACCTTAATGCTTTCTTAAATTTTTGAGTGGGTTTTGGAAAAATTCTGGTCCAGATATTAACTTAAACTCATAGACTGTATCTTTAGACACTAGTTGTAAGAGTTAGTTTCCTAGTATTTTTCTAATTTCACAATTTTTTTGGTTTACAAAGTTATTGTTTAAAATGAATGGGACATCATAGTCCATATACATAGTTATTGTTTAATTTTATATGCTTTTTAGGCATTTTAATTACTAACATTACATGTTCGTGCAGTGAGAAATCTTTTATCTTATAATCAGAGGCAACCGATATGTTACACAAAGTAACATTTCTAATTTTGATATAGCTGCAACAATTCTCTATGAGCTCAGAACTTCAGAAACTTGCAAAATGTTGAAAAGTTCTCTTTGAACTTTTCCACTTTTGGACCTCAGTTTCTGGAGATATATGTGATGAGCAGCAGTACTACAACACCTAGAAAAAAGTCAATCTTGCAGATCTGGTGGGAGGTGCAGGTCTTCTGATAATATGCAGAAAAAGGCGAAGAAGTTGAAGGTGATGGGTGAAGAAATGGAGGAAGAGGAAAAGGATTTCAAGGAGCAAGAGGAGAATAATGAGTTGATTTTAAACCAAGTGAGAAAGTAAAAAATTGGATTTGGAGAAGTTAGTAGAAAAGGAAGTTTAATTAATCAAAATGTTGGGACTCTTTTTTATGGGAGGGGAAGAAGTTGCAAGAATTTATTTTTTGGACCTAGAAAAGAAGAATGGCTTTGATTGATATTTCTGGTATGGAGTTGTGATATGTATGGGTTTAGGCCGTTCGGCGTTTTTTGTTGCGAGGATTCGGATTTTGAAGGTCTGGATGGGGAAGGTGTTTGTGTCTAAAGGCTCTTTTTAGGAGGGTGGCTGATTTTGGGGGCTGCTTTTTTCTTTTTGTGGGTGACATCTAATCACCTTTCTTGTATTCTCTTTCTTTTTCTTATTAAAATTCTTTTTTATTTATAACAAAAAAATATTGTTTTTTGAGAAACTGAGTATGTTGTAGAAAATTTGGTATTTTAGTTAAGAGTAATTCTTTAGAAAAGGGTAAGGAATTAATTCTGATTATATTCTATTGATATGTATTTTCTAGTTGAATGGTTTGTTAAATTTTCATTGAGAAAGGGCATGGTAGAAATCCAGATAGACTAATGTCTTGCACAATGTTTTAAAACGTGGAGGTGTGACGCAAGACATGTTAGATAGTTCTGTATGCCTTTAGTTTCAATTCGATTTGATGTATTTTTGACATTTAATGTAAATAAATAAAGTGTATGATTCATGTTGTTTGGTATAATTTTGTGTAAAACCCTAAAACTGTACACTTATTGAGGCTTATGTTAGTTTTAAATGTTTACAGCCATTGGATAAGTCTGGGAGATTTATCCTGCCAAGGCTGATACTGATGTACTACCAAGTGATGAGATGGCCTATTTCGGCCACCAGGGTAAGACCCAAGGCACATGTAGTATGGATTATTGGAATCTTTGAACCGGACCAGATTTCTAGTATTGCCTTGGACCTTAGAGACAGATGGGCAAAAGTGAAAAATTACACCTAACCCTTAGACTCGATTATGACACTTCACTAGGTGTCGGATCGGATTGTCTTTGATATGTCAATCGATGAGTTCCTTAGCGAGGATTAAATGAAGGGATGAGATATCCATCCTATGGACGCCCAAAGATTGCGGAATAAGGGGCGAATTTCAAAAAATTTYTCTTCCTTCAATTGGGAATCGTATTCCTTATTTAGAAAATCATATTTTCAAAGATCAATCTTAAACCATAAACTAAACTAGATCTGAACAAAAAAAAATGGGAGAGGAATATACCTGATACAGAGATGTAATATTTCCCAATGGAGGTGTTCACGCCCAAGGAAGAATCTAAAGACTGCTCCCACTGAAGATGGCGCAATGCAGGGTGGAGCAGAATCAGCAACGTTCTTCCAAAAGAACTTGACCCTTCTTAAGGATCAACTGGACGACTTGAGTACAGTTCCAACCAATCTTTTCCCTAAAAGATTGAAATCAAGATCCAATCTTGATTATTCCCAAGAACTGGAGATCGAACTGAAGGAATAGCAAAAGCAGGAAGGTGGCGGCATGAGAGAATTCGCAGTATGCAGGAAATCTCTCAATCTCTTTCTTCAAAGAGAATAATGCTATGAATGTTGTTGTGTAGTAGGCTGCCGCCCCCTTCCCCTTCCCCTTTTATAATCTCAAAAGGGATAAGCTCCTAATCAGATTAGGAGCTGCTAATCCAAATCATATTTGGGTTAGAAGTCCCTTAGTGATAAG